TTGGAAAGCCCATTTATTGACAAAGGCTATATACAATCACGACCTATGGGAGCCAAGCATCAATGAAATTTATTGGAGAAGCGGAAAAAAAAAATATGCCTACTATACCACGCTGACTAGACCGGTTGGTTTAGGGTTTGTTTCAAGTTTAATTTCTCTTTGCTCTGACCGACAACACCCATCGAATAAATAGAGGTCATAACACTCCGTATTCTTAACTTGTCACTACACAGACAAATTACAGTCTCCTTTAGTTTAAGATATAATATAATATAATATAATATTCTACCACATCCACACAACGCCATCTAGTTCCAAAAACTAAGCAAAGCTTGTACTATGGCTACTAGACAACTGATAAAAATACATATATACTTTTTAAATACATACTTATTATACATAGAAACACCCAGACCAAATCAAACATTAAATGTTCGTGCACAAAAATGTTTGAATTGAGCGGGCATCGAGCCCGCAATCTTTGGAATAGCAGTCCGTTACACAAACCACTACGCCATTCGGTGGTCTGGTCTGGATAGTCATCAGTTGTCGTCAGGCAGTCGGCCGGCCACGAAAGAAACAAACCTAAATCCTTTTGCTGTAAACATTGCGTCGGCCTCAAATACAATCACCCTTCTTTTGAAAGGCATAAAAATGATGACAAATGTCAACATACATAATATAACAAGGAATTCTGAGCCTAATTGCCATTCAGTTTCCACCATTCATCGAGGTTTGTTCAAACCAATGTAATTACAAGCATGGTCAGATCTCAGATCTTGTACAATGCTACCGTTACATTTAATGATCGAGGTACGAGAATATTAATTAGCCCCCGTTCGTAATTTACCAACCGATTTATCTTAGTTATTACTTCACTGTAATTCATTTATTCTAATGGCGGCAATCGGTAGTTTTAAACGTGAGTGTGTTTATTTGAAGTCGTTTTTTTTGGGATTTAAATAGATTATTTGCTAAGGAAATGTGTGAGTGTGAGTTTATTCCACACCAACTCGTTTTCGACGGTGAGTACGTTTATCGATGTGATTGGTGAAGATTTCAGTGCGGGCCAATCGCAACAACGAACGCGGTACCCGTGACGATCGAGTAGTAGTGAAATAAACTTACACTAAGCTCTCTGAACATACCCACTCAACTGAAGTTTCTTTGTGTTTTTTTTTTATAAGACAACTCCCGCATTAGGAATATATCCTGTGTCGCGGGGGACTTTTCAAGGTTACATGAAACGGACACAAAGAACACCCAGACTCAGGACAACAATTTGTGGATCACAACAAAGTGTCGTCCCATATGGGGATCGGACCCACAACCTTCAGCGTAGTAGTAAGCGGTGTGGCGACCACTACGCCATCCGTGAAGTCAAACCAAGTCCAAAAGATGTATAGTTGAAGTATTTTTTTTTGCATTTAAAATAGCTTATTTGCCAAGGAAATTACATAACTGAACATAAGTACTCAACTAAAGACGAATAGTTTCTTAGGGATAACTATTTTTATTGAATTGTGCTATTAAAGCTACAGGCGAAAGTTAAGTTTGATTATAAAGATACATAGTATTATTATAAAATCTAATTCATAACGCCTAGCTTTTAGATTATTTACATTTTATATACAGTTTCTAGTAAAATACGGTTGCATGGAAAACTTCTTGATGTAATTATAATATAAGGATAAGGACAATTAATGTTTTACATCGGTCTAAGTCCGCGTGGTGACGGATTAAGAATACGGAATGTCACCACCCCTATTCATCCCGTGGGTGTTGTAAGAGCCGACTAAGGGAGCAAACTACGCAGGATAACAGCACTACAAAAGAAAAAGAAAACTTGAAACAAACCCTATTTCAACCCATCTGGCCAGCGTTGTATAGTAGGCCAAAACCTCCTTTCTAAGGAGAGGCCTATGTTCAACAGTGGACTGTTATAGGTTGTTGATGATGATGTTGATGACATCGGTCATCGGTAAGAATATTTACTTTTATTAGAAGAAATACAGAGAAATGACCGACGAGTCACTGCATCCATTTAGAAAGGTACTCGTAGTGTTTGTGACGTTAGTAACATTAAACAAAACCATTAAGGGCATGTATTTGTTGCCGAATTACTAATAAACTTTAAAAGTAGAGAATCTAAATTTAGAATATATTCTCTCGCATTTCCTTGCGCTATGTGAAAATATGTAAGTATTATCGAAATCCCAATTCTATTAGAACGAAGTCGACTATATAAAGTTACATAATCCCTTCCACGACACACTACGACCTACACGCTTATTGAAATTAAGTAGCGAGATATCTGTTAGCTTTACTCTTACTTCCTAAAGGTTTTGTTAAAAAGGGCCGAGGTAATGTTCGTTCACATTTGAAACACGTAAAGTTGTAAGTCATAAAAGGCTCGCGCACGCGTGCGGATGACAGATTGAAGGGACGACTTATCTCTAAGCAAAGGAAAAATAAAAGAGGCTCGTAAAGACTAAAACGTGAAGGAAGACTGAAAGAGCTTATGTACTGAATAAAAAGCTTCATAACGTACTATATTTAAATGAAAAGACGATTTCCAACTGATTAGGGGACAACATTTTCTGGTCCCTCTAATTTGAATTAGACTTGTAGATTGCGTGAATTCAACGAATACACAAACAAAAAACGGAAAACTTTTTACTTTGTACACCTGCACCAAAGAAAATACTGGTATCTAATACGTATATATATATTTCTATTTAACGCATGTACTAATAAACTCGTGTTTGTTTGGCAAAATAATATTCTTATTACAAAAGGTCATAAATCGCAATGCGGCAGTTTTTCTTTCTTTAAGATCAGTCAAATCTAGTTCTACACTAACTTATACGTTACATAACTGATAACTGTTAGTCTAGTGGCGAGTAATCCTGACTAACAGCCAAAGATTCACAGACACCCAGAACAAGAGTTGTGTTATGAGAACGACCATTTGTTTAGTGTTTGGGTATTATCTATAATAGGTATGCATTTGACTGAACGGATGGCGTGGTGGAATTAATACATAGAAGTATGTTTATTAGGAGTCAATTACCGGCTCTGTCTATGTTCGGATCAGAGATCTGTGTGTCAAGTTATTTATAACTATTTGCAATTCTCACTTTACTATCGTCAAATTTTGCCATATAATATTAAAATTTAGTTGCATACTACGGAAATAAAGAGTACAATTCTCCAAAATCTTACTTGCATTTCCCTTCAATTTCATTTTAAAACCGATTAATAATCTATTCGGCTAATAATATTTTATTTTATATTTATTCGTGCTATAAAAATGAGAAATAAAACCCTCACCATCACCATCACCTCAAACTCCATCCAACTTCTCGCACTTTATAGACATTATGGTGTATAAAAACCTCAATTTAACGCTTCTACAGACATAGAGATTGAATTGCCCTAATGCTACCCTGACTTCGCATTATACAGCTCCGAAACTATGTCCGCTAACCTGCAAAGTCATATCCGCCGATAAACTACATCTAAACATGGCTTCCCTTTGCTGCTATCAACGGTACTTAGAGCATTATATTGCAGTATATTATGATAAGTGCGCAGATATGTGTCTATCATTCTAGCACTTTTAATGATTTTGCATCAGATGCCTGTTAATTAGACTAGACTAATAATTACGACTGTAATTAAGTTACGCTCTTAAAGAGCGAAACTTAATTACAGTCGTAATTATTACTGCTGCATGGGAGTGACCGCGGAAGGTGCAACCTAGTCAAAACATTAGGCAGTTTAGTTATGTAATAGCTATTTTCGCGTTAATATATAATATGGCACTCGAACATTTAAAACTTGGTTTAGTAAGGTTGATAAAATGTTAAAAATAAGAATAGTCTATACACATAAAGGCGAAATACAACTCGTTGATAATGTTTTTCAACGCCATTTGCTATAGCCGTCAACGACAAAAGTACTCACGACGCCGACGCGACAATGACAGACAAAACTCGATATATACATAAAAAAAAGTTAGGTAAAGCAACAAACGAACAATTATTAACTATTTGTATAAAAATAGTTTTATTTATTAATTTCATTCAATATTACATGATAATTAATTAACGACATACTAATGCATTTCCAAATTAGCAGTCAAAAGGTTAAACTTGAAAGTAAATAGAAAGGGGGAGTAAGTTAAGAAAAGATTTTCCCACAAAAATGCGGGCATTTAGGAGAATCAAACTCTAATACGTGTGAGGCTTAAAGATGAACGGATTTCCGCGCACTGCCTCAGACTTCCTTATGGGATGAAGATGAGGAGACAGCCAGCACATGCACGAGTAGTATAGTAGATAGTAAGGGTATTTACTACTGGTTGTATGAAACTTACCTAATAAAAATTACGATTCCAACTTTTCTTTTCTTTTCTGTTGTAAAAGCTTCGAATGCATCTACATCAAACTTGCCTTTTTCATGAAAATATTTATTTAAATATTTCCCTGAATCTAAATTTAAGCTTTTAAACGGCTAGTTGGTTCTTATTGTTCATTTATGCAAAATTTTATGTGATAGTTTAGTAGAATATGTATTTATAGCAATAGTTTAAATATTTTGTGTTTTTTTTTGTCAATACTTCGTTTCTAATTGTGAAATCTGTGTTTTAGTAGTAATAATTTTCTATCATGTGAGTGATGAACACGGCAAGATCAAGACCTATCGACAGTCGAGAAAGAGATAGTAAGGCATGTCAGGAGCAATGATAGCTAAGTAAGGCTTGTACTTAAACATATCACCATGATCATCAACCTATCGCCGTCGTCCGCCAACCTATCACTTGAGTACAGATTTAACTAACAAGGAATATAATAAAAATTTAAGAACCCATGAATCCGTCCAATAATTTTTTAAATATAATTTATACTTATGTAAAAGAAAACCAATAAATCAAGTTTATTATGCATTAATTGGGAGGTACCCAGTTGTTATTGAACAGTCAAGTAGTTACTTACAAGGAGGCGGAGGTTTCTTCTGGTTATTCCACACGACCAATATCTTGGCGAGGCTCGGCGTCCGCACCAGCTTGGTGACGAGGGAGAACAGGCTATCGACCCGGTCGTATGTTAGTATGACAGCGGTGAAGCCGAGCGACTTGGGTGCGGTTACCGGCAGAAACAGAGGATTTACAGGACCATACTGCAGGACAAATGAAATTAAATGTTAGACAACAATTTTGAGTCAGCGTTTACGTGATCAAAATATATATATGCAGCATAAAGTTAACAGATAAAAGAAAACACTACATTATAAACCTATATTTATTTGATTATCGGCTTATGATAAACGGCTGTCTTAACTAATATTACGAGATGATCCATTTTGCGACAGAACACGATTGGATAAAAGATATAAGATACTACGAGTATTTCAACTTTATCATTGAACGTACAGGCATAAATGTTATTTCGGAATAACATTTCTAACATCAAATAACATCTATAAACTACAAATATAAATCAAAGCAACGACAATTTGTTTTTTTTTTTATCTACTGTTATCAAAAGAATTTTTTGTTTATAAAGATTATGCATAAAATAACCTACGCGAGCAAAACGTGGTAAATGTTTTTTTAAAGGACTACTACTAATAATAAAAGAGCTAATCTGCACTTCATTGTATAGATCCGAGAGTCGTTTTTTGTCCAAAAGTCTTTAATGAGTGAGAATTCTGTACGTATTCTGTATTTTCAAGTAGAAGTCTCGTATCCTTAATTTGTAAACTTCCACGATTAAAGTTTAACAACAAAGGATAAAATCCTAAAGGTTCACTTAAAGTAACAAGATTGCGAAACACTTTCTTAGTCTTAAAACTATTATTAGCTCAGATACTAGGAATGTTATGTTCTTCAGAGAGTGACATTTTCGTCTGTATTCAGCTATTAACTCAGTTAGACCTTTCCCTAATTATTCAAATATATTTAGACAAATATAAATTAACAAGTATACACATTTTAAGTTATTCAACTTCTATAAAATGTTATTCCATAACAAAAAAATCTTCGTGTTTTTTATTTCGCTCGGCAGTATAGTGTGCCCTATATTCATTCCTTCCGAGTGTAATTAAGTTTAATAATTATTAATCCGTTAATTTGTACAACCTCTCTGTACCACTAATGTAAACTAATATCATGTCCTGAATAAATAATTAAATACAATGGGTTGGCGCTGTCGACTAACGCGTTTTGATATCGTACAAACCGTCGTGTTTCAAACAAAAACGATTATCTTCGAACTTGTCAGTTTGTGTAAATGTATTCGGTAAGTAACGGTATTAATACATAAAAATAACTAATTGACAATGAAAAACGACAGCGCGAGGCGAAGCGCCATTGTACTAGTGACATATCTACTGTATCGAGTATTCAATTAGTAGGCTTACATATTAAATAGCTTGAAGTAAAAATAAAGAAACAACAAAACTCCAAAAAGATACAAGATCCAGCTTTGAGATCATCATTGGCCTTTTACATCTCGTTCCAGACGATTTAGTCACTGTCCCGTAGCCATACACACTCCGTCCGTCCCGTACATACACTTTGTTTCGTGGCTATGTATGCCAACTCTAGAGCGACGATTTCTACCGCACACTCTGCATATAAAACTACCGGTTTATGGGTTGTTGTTAGCTCATAGAAGTTATATTTCCTAACTATGACTTAGTTTCTTAGTCAAGACGATATCGAATACTTTTTTACGATACTAAATACGCAAACAAAGCAATAAATACTCGAAACTACTCCCCTGGAGCTTGAAACGACCTTGGTTAACCGCAGTGTTTTATGTAAAGGGTTATTTTTGCAGCACACCAGTGCCTTCATAAAAGTAATAATTTAGATGAAATGCACTTTAAATTTGCGGCCTAGTGTTGAGGTCGACCGCATTAGTTTATTTAACTGTAATATCCTACTTGCTAATAATGTTGATATATGAAATTAGTTCAGTAATGATAATAAGTAGTTTGGTAACCAATTAAACTAAAGTTTAAATAAGTTTGAGGACAAATACGAAAAACCTTTTTTTACGTTGTTTAAAAGAACTAAAACCTCTTTAAGATAATCGTTAGAATTCCAGAGACCGCTGATGCAAAATTAAAAATGAACTAATTGTTTTAGCAAAGTTTAACTGCAGTCGAGCTCGCTTTTAAAATGTGCCCCTATAACCGTTACTAATATTATATTATAAATGTAAAAAAAAAATGATGGTCACGCTTTTAAACCTAACCAATAAAAAGATTTTCATGAAACGTAATAACGGATTCAGAAAAGGACATCAGGTACCTTTCGTCTCGGAAAAAAGAGTCTCCGGAGAATAGAAAAATAATAATAATAATAAAATTGATCCATCTCACACAAGTCGTCTTATACCAAGCTAGGTAGAGCTTGTACTATGATATTCAAATTGCTGGTAAACATACATATACGGTTCCAAATACATAAATGTTAAAGAAAAATTACACTCAGACACAGAACCAATGATCGTGCTGGTGAAACAATTATTTATCCTAAGTGGGAATTGTACCCATGACCTCTGTCTGAGCAATCAAGATCACTATCCAATACATTAGTAGGCCAGTCAAGAAAAACCAAGTCAAAAAGTTTGAGGCGAACGAATCCACGGGCACAGCTAGTTATTGATACATAAGACGTTTCTGCGGTACCTTATTGCGCAGCCTCAAAGAAAAACTTCACTTTAAGCTCTTTCGTATGCATGAGTTTGCTAACTCTTTCTTCAGTCAACATTTCCACAGTTTCCAAACTAGTCAACAATACAATATCAACATTGCTGATTCGTGGGATCTTTAGTAAGCCTTAAAACATAGTTATCCTTCGGGTTACGAAGGGTACAGGACTTTCGGTCCGCAAAAAAAAACTTATATTCGGTCGTATCTGGGAAGAATAACAATGGGGTATGTACTTGGATATAATGGGAATGAGAATCTCGTCATGCTTACGCAACAAAGTCTTTTTGGGACAGAGTTTAACGTATTTAGGTTACTATTAAAATATACTTATTTTATTTCTTTATGCACACACAAATGTGACAAATGTAGAAGTTCAATATTAATAAATTGGGTTAACATAAGATAAAATCTGCTTATTAATACGTAAACAATTTTTTTGTACCGCCTTTAAACAATTACGCGGGACGGATTCAAACAACTAAAAACAAAAAGAGTAATAGGTTCTATTAACTTTAACTGTATAATTTACGTTTTTAATCGCTTTATACGTAATACATAATACATCAATTAACGGTTTCACTTTCAGCTCTCTCTGATTTTGGAAGAGAAAACAACATTCCATTTCCATTCTACCTTGGAATACCTGTAGACTTGTAATGATGATTACTCGTACATACTCGTATAATAACTAAAAAAAAAAGAATCATCGACTTCAATGCGCCGATACTGTATTCTTTCTTCCTTAATTTTTCACCCTTAGGGATGGTGTTTTTTTCTATGAATTTGAATATAATCAAACAAGAAATGTAGCATACATTTTTCTTAAAATAAAATTTTATAAGTCGGTTCACATATAACGAAGTTCTGACGACCATAAAAATGCAACAGAATAAAAACCTCATTTTTATTTGAAGTCGGTTAGAAATGTATTTTATTATTTGAATAACATTCGTTTATCTATACATTGCTAGAAGCTTTACATCATATATTATGCATTTTGAAGCCATGGCGTATAACAAAAACTAAAATTGCGCATAGTCATCGGTATGTATGGCGCGTGACGGGTGTATAAACTTGCGGAAATTGTGCTGTCATTCCGCTCACGACACTACACTAGTCCTCACTCCTGTATGATGGAGACATAAGACATGACACCACGATCATAACTTGTGTTTACCCAAAAGTTGCATATCATCAAAGTTATGGGTCTAAGTCGTTAGGACCTTGCCAAAAATTTCGCAGCAAGTAACGGTTTATTCAATCACGTTGTTTATTTTGATTAGTATAGTTTAGAAGTTTGTAGTAGGTTTTTAGTAGAAACACCACATATTCCTAGCTCCTACATCCCCAAGGAGTGGGATATACGAAGGTATTTTCCACCCCGTCAACGAAAGAAAACAAAGGGTGTCAGAAGGGCATTGCCGGCCTAAGAAATAAAGGTAGTATGAGACGAATAATTGATTTAATTGACATTTGAATCATTGTTATACGTCATTTTATTCGTATTTATGGAGTTTAATTCGTATTATAGTTTATACTATTACACATACTATAATACACTAGTATACATATACACTACATACAAAGAATTAATTTCCCCTGTCATTTTATAATGCTGCACTGCGACTGCACGGATTGCGTAGTGGTTTAAGTAATCACCTCGGCGCTTCCTACCGCACTGAATGTTGTGGGTTCGATCCCCACATGGGACAACACATTGTGTGATCCACAAATTGTTGCTCTGAGTCAGGGTATTTTTTGTGTCCGTTTCATGAATATTTGTAAAGAGACCGCGACACAGAATATATTCCAAGTGGGGAAGGAGTATTTAAAAAAAATGTTTTCTTTTTTATTGTCTTCTTGTGTCTCATTTTTATGGACTGTTTAGCTACTTTCAGGTAGGTAATATTACTATTATATTATAGTAAGGTCGTTGGGGAATGGCGCTGCAAATAGCTAAGTCCTGAGCTTTTAACTTAGTTTGGCAACGGATGCTAATGCATGCTTTTCCGTGTAATTAAATACAGTTAAGTTTTAAAGGAAAAGTAAACTTGTTGTTGTTCGTTCCTTAATGTATATGTAATGAAAAAATTTAAGACGGTACTGTTGGTCTAGTGGCTAGTGATCTCGACTGCAGACCCGAAAGTTGGCGATTCAATGCCCACGATTCGATGAGAAATAATTGTGTGATGTGCACAATCATTTATTTTTCGTCTGTGTAGAATTTATCTACAATATGTATGTATTTAGAAACAGCAGTCTATTAACCATTGCGGGAGTTGTCTAGAATCTTTATTATTATTTAATTATATGTAATAAACAATACTTATCTAAGCCTTGTCCGTAATACAGTACCAAAATCTTTAATCCGATACTTATTTTGGTAAATCCATTGAACAAAAGTTGATGTTATTGTTGCATACGGATAAAGCATCATTTTTTTCTAAGTCCCTCTATTCGCTAAGCCTTATATCCAATTTTGTAACGGTGAAAGGGGAATAGGTAATCATATTGAAAGGAGGATGGGTACTACAGAATTCTGCTCATCTCAGTGATGTGATTTGAGAAGTAGCTCTGCTGGAGAAAAGATTATGTTTATTATGAAACGACTACTTATATACCTACTTATAAGTTATTA